TTCACAATTTGGGCCCGTCAGTGCCATGTCCTCAGAGATACCATGAGACCAGGTCCTTCAGAACCAACGTGTCACCCAGAGTCGTACAACAAGAGAACTCAGCCAACATCCTGGACCCTTGAACAGCCATGACTTCTCTGACCTGAGGCCAGGCATGCCGGAGACCACAGGTTCACTGCACCAGTGGGTGGCAGGATAAAATGATCCCTGCACTCCTCATCCTCTCCTGCCCTTAAACCTGTAGCCTTTCCTTGGCAGCCGACTCCCTTGTTTCTGCATGGTTGTGCTCAATGACCTCCGGGAAGAGCTCCAATCCTCAGGGAACGCTATGTGGGCTGGGTATAGAAACGATGCTGGGCTGTCCTGAGGAACACCTTCATATCTTCAACACAGGTGGAACGTGGCCAGACAGGGACAAAACACCCCACGGCCTCCAAATCAGCACCCATGAGAAGAAACCATACTGTGCTGGGAAGGCAACCACTCGCTGGCACAGGGACCTGCCATGAAGCAAATCAACAAAGGAGAGGAAAAGGGTGGGGTGGTCCACGAACATGCACCCTTAATCCTTTTCTACACATGCCTCCAAATGTGCTGGAAGGCATCCCAAAGGAGTTCCAGGAACCCTATGGCCACCGTCAATCTATCTACCTCCAGTAAAACTTGCAGGCTTAGCCAGCCTTTGCACGTGTGTTTCCCGCTCACCTTGCCTTTCTCTCTCTGCCAGTATCGAAATATCTCACCGCAAGGTTCCAGAGCCACCCCTCACCAGAGAAGCTTGATTTTCCTGGTAATTACCTAAGGCATTTTCCAGCCCCTCCACACGTAACACACAAGAGGGACACAACTTGAGGAGGAACCATCAGCTTGGTCCAAGTCCGGGACAGTGGCCCATTTTTTTAAAAAATTATTTATTTATTTATTTTGGCTGCATTGGGTCTTTGTTCTGTGTGAGGGCTTTCTATAGTTGTGGCAAGTGGGGGCTACTCTTCACTGTGGTAAGCAGACTTGTCATTGCAGCAGCTTCTCTTGTTGTGGAGCATGGGCTCTAGGTGCACGGCTTCAGTAGTTGTAGCATGTGGTCTCAGTAGTTGTGGCTCGCGGGCTCTAGAGTGTAGGCTCAGTAGTTGTGATGCATGACTTAGTTGCTCTGAAGCATGTGGGATCTTCCCGGACAAGGGATCGAACCGGTATACCCTGCATTGGCCAGCAGGTTCTTAACCCCTGCACCACCAGGGAAGCCCAACAGGGCTTTACTATCCCCGATCAGCAGGAGAAACCGAAACTGCATCCCATCTCCCAAGGAGCCTGGCGTAGGCCAGGACTCCTGCTCTGACCCTGAGCACAGAGACTTCTGCTTCCTTGAGGGCACAAGGCAACGACCAGGGGGCGGGAGAGGCATGTAGAACTCAATGGCAGGCCATAGTACCGCCAATGGCTCATGCTTCCTCTCCCCCGAGAAGGCTGAACTGTGGCAGAGAACAGCAGTCCTGGCTAGACTCAGGTGCTCAGAGATGGCACGCTGTCCCTAGCCTTCCCATGTGGAAGGGAATCCCAGGCTCCTTCCCAATGGCTCTTTCCCCACAAGAAGCCTGCCACCCTCAAACTGAACAAAGTTGCTGCAGCTGCCCACGGTAGCAAATGTAACATGAACCTCTCCTTATTTTTCCTTTGGGAGCCATGTGCTGGACTTCAGTTTCAATGAGGAGACTGTAGGGATTGCCCACTCATTTTGTTCAGATTTCCAAGGAATGAATTTATGGGAGTCATCATCGATCGAAGCACCTGCTCAAAGCCTGGACGTGCAAAGTTGCAGCCTCCACCACCGGCGGCCAGCGAGCTCAATCATGTCCACAGTCAGGATTGGACAGAGCCGAGCCACGGGGCAGGAAGTGCAGCCACATTGCAGGACATTGGAGCTCGGTGCCATGGGAAAAGCCCAGAAGGTGAGAGTGTAGTCCCAGTGCACAAGTCCCCATGGTGAAACATCTAGGTTTCGGCAAAGAAGTTTCACTTACTGCCACAAGGTTTCCACCAGGAAGCCCAAGGACTTCACGCCAACACCCCTCCGAGACTCCTTCACCTTGCCTCGCCTCGCCTTGCCACACTGTCCTCACTTCACTGGGTATCATGGACTATCCAGAAGGCCCCACGCTGCTGCTGCCATTCATTAACTAGCACTCCACCTGGCTCGGGGTGAGAGAACACACGCACGGTTGAGGATGGTGCATGGGTGCACAGAGGGACAGAGCGTACCACCCAGTGATGTGTGCTCTATCTTGCCTCAACATTTCATTTGCTGCCCAGCTTGTCTGTGTGCCCGCAGCCAAACGTGAATGCGTCATGGGGCAGATTGCTTCAGAGCACGTGGCCATCAGCAAAAAGAGCACCACTGTCCATCAACCTCCTGGTACAGGCCCTGCAATTCCCCTCCTGAGCGACCTCCCCACAGACACAGCATAAGGATGTCATCCTGAACTGCTGAGACACCCTCAGGGGAACTGGGGCCCCACCACCTTACAGTCACTGCCAACCAGGGGAACACACTTGCTCTTGGCACATACGCTTCCTCACATTGCACTCTCCTTCAAGGGGAAATGTGGTCGCTGCAATCTTCCACAAGGGAAGGGCCCTTGGCTGAATTTGATGACCTCCATTAAAAGTGGCTCAAAGGGATCCGTGACAAAGGGCACCTGAGGAACCCCTGGACTGACAAGGGGGACTCACCAGCAGGCATGCTTCCTGGCCTCCAGCCAAGCCAGAGGCCCTTCCCTTGTACCACACGCAAAGCTAATGGCACCGGAGCAATTCCAATGCTCAAAATTGAGTGTCAAACACTTGCAGCAACTGGGTAACTGACCGCAGCACCATGCACTTTTGGACTCTAGGCCCATCAGTGACCTTGGAATAAGCGTGAGACCCTGGACCTCCAAAACCAATGTGTCACCCACAGTTGCACAATGAGAGAACCCAGCCATGAGCCAGGACCCTTGAACCGACATGACTTCTCTGGCCTGAGGCCAGGCACGCTGGAGACCATAGGGTTGCCGCACCAGCGAGTGGCAGGACAAACTAACACCTGCACCACACATCCTCTCCTGCCCTTAAACCTGTAGCCTTTCCTTGGCCGCCGATTCCCTTGTTTTGTGCATGGTTGCACCAAATGACCTCCAGGAAGAGCTCCAAACCTCAGAGAATGCTATGTGGGCCGGGCATAGAAATGATGCTGGGCTCTCCTGAGGAACACCTTCATATCTTCAACACATGGGGGAACGTGGAAAGACACGGACAAAACACCCCACGGCCTCCAAATCGGCCCCCATGAGAAGACACAATACTGTGCCGCGAAGGCAAGCATTCGCTGGAACAGTGACCTGCCATGGAGCAAATCAACAAAGGAGAGGAAAAGGGGGAATTGTCCATGAACATGTACCCGTAATCCTTTCCTACACGTGTCTGCAAATATGCCTGAAGGCATCCCAAGGAGTTCTGGGAACCCAAAGGCCACCATCAATCTATCCACCCATGAGTAAACCTGTGGGTTTAGCCAACACTCTCACGTGTATTTCCCACTCGCCTTGCCTTTCTCTCTCCACCAGGATCCAAATGCCTCACAGCAAGTTGCCAGACCACCCCTAACCAAAGAAGCTTGATTTCCCAGGGAATTGCCTAAGGCATTTTCCAGCCCCTCTACACACAACACACAAGCGGGACACAACCCGAGGAGGAGCCAAGGGCTTGGCCAGACTCTGGGGAACAGTGGCCCATTTGATTTCTCCCCACCATCAGAAGAAACCTAAACTGCATCCTGTCTCCAAAGCAGAACATGACACAGAAACCAGGCCTAGGACAGGACTGTGTTTCCTTGAGGGCATGAGGCAATGACCAGAGGGCAGGGGAGGCCTATAGAACTCAATGGCAGGCCAGAGATCCACCAATGGCTCACACTTCCACACCCACCCGCAGGCTGAACCACAGAAGGGGACAGGAGACCTGGCTAGACTCAGGGGTCCAGAGCCATCAAGCCGTCCCCAGCATTCCCACGTGGATGGGCATCCCTTGTTCCTTTCCAAATGGCTCTTTCCTCATGAGGAGGCCACCACCCTCAATGTGAACAACATGGTTGCAGATGCCCAAGGTCGCAAATGCAGCGTGAACCTCTCTGTAATTTTCTTTTGGGAGCCACGTGCTGGACCTCAGTTCCAATGAGGAGACAGTAGAGATTGTGCACTCATTTTGTTCAGATTTCCAGGGAATGCATTTATGGGAGTCATCATTGATCTAAGCACCTGCTCAAAGGCTGGATGTGCAAAGTTGCAGCCTCCACCGTGGGAGGGCCAGTGAGCTCAATCATGTCAGCAGTCAGGAGCGGCCAGAGCCAAGCCATGGGGCAGGAAGTGCACCCAAGTGTCGGGGCATTGGAGCTTGGGTGCTGCTGGAAGAGCCAAGAAGGTGACGGTGTAGTCTCGGTGCACAAGTACCTGTGGCCAAAAATCTACGTTTCTGCAAAGAAGTTCTGCTTACTGCCACAAGGTTTCCATAAGGAACCTCAAGGACTTCACGTCAACAGCCCTCCGAGACTCCTTCACTTTGCATCACCTTGCCACACTGTCTTCACTTCACTGGGTATCACGGACTATACAGAGGGCGCCATGCTGCTGCTGGCATTCATTCCCTGGCACTCCACCTGGCTTGGGGTGAAAGAACACATGCACTTTTGAGGATGGTGCACGGGTGCACAGAGGGAAAGGGCGATACCACCCAGCGATGTGCACTCTTTCTCGCCTCAACATTAAATTTGCTGCCCATCTTGCCTGTGTGTACACAGCCAATCATGAATGCATCGTGGTGCAGACACATTCAGAATGTGCGGCCATTAGCACAATGAGTGCTGCCATCCATTAACCCCCTGGTACGGTGCTGCAATTCCCCTCGTGAGTGACCTCCACACCGACACAGCAAAAGGATGTCATCCTGAACGCCCCAGAAAACCTCAGGGGAAATGGGATCCCTCAGTCTAAGAGCCACTGCCCTCCAAGAGAACAAACCCGCTCTTGGCATATAGGTTTTCACTTAATGGACTCACCCTCAATGGGAAATGTCGGCCCTGAGATATTCCACAAGGGAACGGCCTTGAGCCTAATGTGATGACCTCCATTAAAAGCGGCTCTTAGTGACCCATGACAAAGGGCACCTAAGGAACCCCTGGACTGACCAAGGGGGACTCAAGAGCAAGCATAGTTCCAGCCCTCCTGACAAGCCAGAGGAGCTTCCCTTGGACAACAGGCAAAGCTAATGGCATAGGAGCCATTCAGAGGCCCAAATTACCAGGGCAAACCCTTGCAGCAACTGAGTAAGTTGCTGTGGTGCCTTGCACTTTCACACTCTGGACCCGTCAGTGACAAGACCTTGGAGAAGATGTGAGAACCAGGTCCTCCAGAAGCAACAGGTCACACACAGGTGTGAAATGAGAGAACCAGCCAACAGCCTGGACACTTGAACCTGCATAACTTGTCTGGCGTGAGGCCAGCCACACTGGAGAAAAAAGGCTCACAGCACAAGCGGGCAGCTGGACAAAATGACCCCGACACCACACACCATTTCCTGCCCATAAAACTGTAGACTTTCCTTGGCAGCCGACTCCCTTGTTTCCACATGGTTGCGCCCACTAACCTCCGGGAAGAGCTAAATACCTAATGGAATGCTATGTGGTCTGGGTATAGGAATGATGCTGGGCTGACCTGAGAAACACCTTCACACCTTCAACACAGGGGGAACGTGGATAGACAGGGACAAAACAACCCACGGCCTCCAAATCGACCCCCATGAGAAGACAACATACTGTGCCAGGAAGGAAACCATTCACTGGCACAGGAACCTGCCATGAAGCAAATCAACAAAGGAGAGGAAAAAGGCGGGACAGTCCACAAATGTGCTCCCATGTTCCATCCCTACACATGCCTCCAAATGCTCCGGAGGGAATCCCAACTGTGTTCCGGGAACCCTTTGGCCACTGTCGATCTATCCACCCACCAGTAAACCTGTGGGCTTAGGCAGCCATCTCACGTGTCTTTTTCACTCGCTTTGCCTTTCTCTCTCCACCGGGATCCCAACGTGTCATGGCAAGATGCCACAGCCACCCCTCACCAAAGAAGCTTGTGGTGATGAAGCTTGATGAAGGCATTTTCTAGCCCCATCACACAGCATACACAAGCAGGGAACAACCCTAGGAGGAGACATCAGCTTGGCCAACCTCCCGGGGACAACGGCCCATTTGATTTCTCCCCTTATCAGGAGAAACCTAAACTGCATCTGGTCTCCCAAACAGAACATGACAAAGAACCCTGCCCTAGGCTTGGAATCCTGCTCTGCAACTAAGCATACAGACTTCTGTTTCTTTGCGGGCACAAGGCAACGAGTAGCCGGTGGGAGCGGCCTGTAGAACTCAAGTGCAGGCGAGAGGACCACCAAGGGCTCACGATTTCTCTCCTACCCGAATGCTAAACCGTGGCAGGGGACAGCAGTCCTGGCTAGACCAAGGAGCCCACAGACGGCATGCTGTCCCTAGCCTTCCCACATGGATTGGCATCCCAGGGTCCTTTCCCAATGCCTTTTCTCCCCATCAGATGGCCAAAAGCCTCAACTTAAACAGCGTGGCTGTGGACACCCACGGGAGCAAATGTAACGTGAACCTATCCCTACTTTCCTTTTGGGAGGCACGTGTTGGACCTCAGTTCCAAGGAAGAGACGACAGAGATTTCTCACTCATTTTGTTCAGATTTCCAAGGAATGCATTAGTGGGGGTCATCATCGATTGAAGCACACGCTCAAACGCTGGACATGCAAAGTTGCAGATTCCACCATGGGACACCCATCGAGCTGAATCACGACAGCATATGGGTGCGGCCAGGGCCGAGCCATTGGAGCAGGAAATGCAGCCAGTTCTCAGGGCGTCGAAGCTCGTGCTCCCCGAGAAAAAGTCGGAAGGTGAGGGTATAGCCCCGTTGCACAGGTTCCCGTGGTGACACCTCTAGGTTTTAGCACAGAAGTGCTGCTTACCGCAACGAGGGTTAAATCAGGATCCCCATGGAATGCACCCCGGCACCTTTGCGAGACTCCTCCTCCTCACTTCACCGGGAATCACGGATTATACGGACGGCCCCAGGTTGCTCTGCTGCTGGAACTCCTTTCCCGCCATTCCACCAGGCTTGGGGTGAGAGAACACACGCGTGCTTGAGGAGGGTGCGCGGGGNCCCCATGAGATGGCCACAGCCCTCCACTTGAACAACGTGGCCGTGGGCTCTCACGGCAGCAAACGCAACGTCAACCTCTCCCTCCTTTCCTTTTGGGAGCTACGTGCTGGACCTCAGTTCCAATGAGAAGATGGTAGGCTTAGGGTTTTCTCAGTCATTTTGTTCAGATTTCCAAGGAATGCATTTGTGGGAGTCATCGTCGATCCAAGCACATGCTCAAACCTTGGACATGCATAGTTGCAGATTCCATCATGGGATGGTCAACCAGCTGAATCATGTCAGCATACAGAAGCAGCCAGTTTTGAGCAATGGAGCAGGAAATGCAGCCAGTTCTCAGGGCCTCAAAGCTCGTGTTCCCCGAGAAAAGGCCAGAAGGTGAGTGTGTCGCCCCTTTTTCAAGTTCCCGTAGCCAAACCTCTAGGTTTTACCAAAGAAGTGCCGCCTACCGCAACAAGGTTTAAACCAGGTTCCTCATGGAATGTGCGCCCACATCCCTGCAAGACTCTTTCTCCTCATTTCAAAGGTTATCACGAATTATACGGATGGCCCCAGGCTGCTCTGATGCTGGTATTCCTTCCTTGGCATTCCATCTGATTCGGGCTGAGAGAACACACGCTTAGTTGAGGAGTGTGCATGGGTGCAACAAGGGAAAGAGCGATACGACCCAGCGATGCGTGCCCTATCTCTCTTCAACATTTCATTTGCTGCCTATCTTGCCTGGCTGTCCGCAGGGAAACATGAATGCCACGTAGCGCAGACACCTTCAGAGCGTGTGGCCATCAGGGAAAAGAGCCCCGCTGTCCAACAACCCCGTGGTCTCAGACCCTGCAACGCCTCTGCTGAGCACTGTCCCCTCTAGCACAGGAAAAGGATGTTTTCCTGAACTCCTGAGACAACCTCAGCGCAACTGTGCCCCCTTAGACTCAGAGCCAGTGACCTCCAGGTGAACACATCTGCCCTAGGCACATATGCTTCCACTCAATGGACACGCCCTTAAGGGGAAGACATCTTCCACAAGGGAAAGGCCCTTGGCTGAATATGACGGCCTCCATGAAAAGCGGCTCATAGGGACCCGTGACAAAGCGTACGTGAGGAACACCTGGACTGATCAAGGGAGACTCACCAGCAGGCATACTTCCTGGACTGCTTCCAAGACAGACGACCTACCCTTGGCCCACACAGAAAGGTAAGGGCATGCGAAGCATTCCGATGCCTAGCGTGGCGGGGAAAACGCTTGCAGCCTAACGGCGTGGGAGCCATTCCAGTGCGCAAAATGGCGGAGCAAAGAGTTACAGCAATTGGGTCACCTGCAGTGGTGGCTGGCACTTTCGCACTCTGCGCCCGTCAGCGACGTGACCTCGGAGAAACTGTGAGGCCAAGTCCTCTAGAAGCAACATATTACCTACAGCCGTGCAACAAGAGAACCTAGGTAACTGCTTAGACACTTGAATCTGTATGACTTGTGTGGCATGTGGCCAAGAGGGTCGAATATCACAGTCTCGACGCACCAGCAGGAAAAATGACCCTCGCACCACACATACACTCCTGCCCTTAAAGTTGTAGCCTTTCCTTGGCAGCCAACTACCTTTTTTTCTGCATGTTTGTGCTCAGTCACCTCTGGTAAGAGCAGCAGTCCACAGGGAACGCTATGTGGGCCAGGTGTGGAAACGATCCTGGGTTGTACGTAGGAGCACTTTCAATCTTCACCACAGGGGGAACATCGACCGCCAGGGCCAAAACACCCCACGGCCTCCAAATCCTCCCCCATGAGAAGAAACCATACTGTGCCACGAAGGCATCCATTCGCTGGCACAGGGACCCGCCGTGAATCAAATCGATCTAGGAGAGGAAAAAGGCGGGACAGTCCACAAATGTGGTCACGAGTTCCCTTCCTACATGTGCCTGCAATCGCTTCTGAGGGAATCCCAAATGTGTTCCGGGATCCCTACGGCCACCGTCGATCTATCCACCCACCTGTAAATCTGAGGGCTTAGCCAGCCATCTCAAGTGCCTTTTTAACTTGCCTTGTCTTTCTCTCTACACCGGGATCCCAATGTGTCTCCACAAGATGCCAGAGCCACCCCTCACATGACTAAGCTTGACTAAGGCATTTTCTAGCCCATTTAGATAGCACACACAATCAGGACGGAACCCAAGGAGGAGCCATCAGCTTTTCTAAACTCCCGGGGAATGTGCCCCATTTGATTCCTCCCCTCATCAGGAGAAACCTAAACTGCATCTGGTCTCCCAAGCAGAACATGACAAAGAACCCTGCCATAGGCCAGGAATCCTGCTCTGACCCCGAGCATACAGACTTGTTTGTTTGAGGGCACAAGGCAACGACACCCCCACGGGGGCAGCCTGTAGAATGCAAGTGCAGGCGACAGGACCACCAATGGCTCACGTTTCCTGTCCTACCCTCATGCTGAACCGTGGCAGGAGACAGCAGTCTTGGCTAGACCAATGAACCCAGAGACAGCACTCTGTCCCTAGCCTTCCCACCTGGATTGGTATCCCAGGCTCCTTTCCCAATGGTTCTTCTCCCCATGAGACAGCCAGAATCCTAAACTTGAGCAACGTGGCTGTGGACAAGCACGCCACCAAATGCAACGTGAATCTCTCCCTACTTTCCTTTTGAGAGCCACGTGCTGGACCTCAGTTCCAATGAGAAGATGGTAGGGATTTCTCACTCATTTTTTTCAGATATCTAAGGGATACATTTTTTGGGAGTCATCATCGATCCAAGCAAATGCTCAAATGCTGGAAATGCAGAGTTGCAGATTCCACCACGGGATGGTCAGCGAGCTGAATCATGTCAGCATATGGAAGTGGCCAGAGCCCAGCCATGGGGCAGGAAATGCAGCCAGTTTTCAGGGCATCGAAGATCCCGTTCCCTGAGAAAATGCGAGAAGGTGAGAGTGTAGCCCCAGTGCCCAAGTTCCAGTGGCCAAACCTCTAGGTTTCACCAAAGAAGTGCCACTTAGCGCAACAAGGGTTAAACCAGGATCCTCATGGAATGCATGCCAAAACCCCTCTGAGTCTCTTTCACCTGGCCTCACCCTGCCTCACTCTTGTCACTTCACTGGGTATCACGGATTATACGGATGGCCCCAGGCTGCTCTGCTGTTGTCATTCCTTCCCTGGCATTCCCCCTTGTTCGGGGTGAGGGAACACACGTGTACTTTAGGAGGGTGCATGGGTGCACCGATGTTCGGGGCAATACCACGCAACGATGTGAGCTCTATCTCCCCTCAACATTTCATTTGCTGCCCATTTTGCGTGTTGTCCACAGGGAAACATGAAAGCAAAGTAGCGTGGATGCCTTCAGAGCCTGTGGCCATCAGGACAAAGAGCCCCACTGTCCAACAACCCCGTGGTCTCAGGCCCTGCAATTCCTTTCCTGAGCACTCTCCCATCCATCACAGCAGGAGGATGGCTTCCTGAACCCCTAAGACACCCACAGGGCAACTGTGCCCCCTCAGCATAAGAGCCAGTGCCCTCTAGGGGAAAACACATGCCCTTAGGACATATGCTTCCAAACAATGGACGCGCCCTAAAGTGGAAGAGATCTTCCACAAGGGAATGGCCCTTGGTCGAATATGAGGGCCTCCATCAAAAGCAGCTCGTAGGGGGCCTCCCTGGTGGCCCAGTGGTTTATAGTCCGCCTGCCGATGCAGGGGATACGGGTTTGTGCCCTGGTGCAGGAAGATCCCACGTGCTGCAGAATGGCTAGGCCCGTAAGCCATGGCCACTGAGCCTGTGTGCCCAGAGCCTGTGCTCTACAACGGGAGAGGCCACAACAGTGAGAGTCTCGCATACAGCAAAAAAAAAAAAAAAAAAGCGGCTCGTTGGGACCCGTGAAAAAGGACATCTGAGGAACACCTGGACTGCCCAAGGGAGACTCACCAGCAGGCCTACTTCCTGGCCTGTTGCCAAGACAGACGACCTACTCTTGACCCAGACACAAAGCTAATGCCATGGGAAGCATTCTGATGTCCACCATGGTGAGGAAAACCCTTGCAGCCTAATGTCATGAGAGCCATTCCGATGCCCAAAGTGGGGGGCAAACCACTGCAGCAATTGGGTCACTTGCAGTGGTGCGTGGCACTTTTGCACTCTGTCCCGTCAGTGACGTGACCTCGGAGAAACCGTGAGGCCCAGATCCTCTAGAAACAACGTGTTACCCACTGCTGTGCAACGAGAGAACCCAGCCAACAGCCTAGACACTTGAACCGGTATAACTTGTCTGGCCTGTGGCCAGGGACGCCAGATACCACAGTCTCGACGCACCAGCAGGTGGCAGGAAAAATGACCCCTGCACCACAAATCCTCTCCTATCCTTCAACCTGCAGTCTTTCCTTGGCAGCCGACTCCATTTTTTCCGCATGGTTGTGCCCAATGACCTCTGGGAAGATCTGCAATCCTCAGGGAACACTATGTGGGCTGGGTGTAGTAACGATGGTGGGCTGTACTGAGGACCACCTTCACATCTTCAACACAGGGCAAACATGGCCAGACATGGACAAAACACCCCACGGCCTCCAAATCTGTCCCCATGAAAAACACTATACCATGTCTGGAAGGCAACCATTCGCTGGCACAGGAACCCGCCATGAAGCAAATTGACAAAGGAGAGGAAAAAGGCGGGACAGTCCACAAATGTGCTCCCGTGTTCCCTCCCTACACGTGCCTCCAAATGCTCCTGAGGGAATCCCAAATGTGTTCCGGGAACCCTACGGCCACCATCGATCTATGCACCCACCAGTAAACCTGTGGGCTTTGCCAGCCATCTCACGTGTATTTCCTGCTTGCCTTTCCTTTCTCCCTCAACCAGGATCGAAATGTCTGAAGGCAAGGTGCCAGAGCCACCCCTCACCAAAGAAGTTTTATTTTCCTGAGAATTGACTAAGACATATTCAAGTTCACCTGCACACAATACACAAGCAGATCACAACCGAGGAGGAACCATCAGCTTGGCCCAACTCCCAGGGACAGTGGCCCATTTGATTTCACCCCTCATCATGAGAAACCTAATCTGAAACCTGTCTCCCAAGCAGAACATGACAAGAAAGACTGACCTAGGCCAGGACTCCTGCTCTGACCCTGAGCACAGAGACTTCTGTTTCCTTGAAGGCACAAGGCCATGAATAGGGGGCGGGGGAGAATGTTAGAACTCACTGGCAGGCCAGAGCCCCACCAAGGGCTAATGTTTCCTCTTCTGAATGCACGCTAAACTGTGGCAGGAGACAGAAGACCTTGATAGACTTAGTTGCCCATAGACAACTAATTGTCCTAAGCCTTCCTAGGTGAATGGGCATAACAGGCTCCTCTCCAAATGGCCCTTTTCCCAGAGAAGGCTGCCACTCTCCACTTGAACAATGTGGCTGTGGATCCCCACAATAGCTAAATGCAACGTGACCTCTCTCTACTCTTCTTTTGGGAGCTATGTGCTGGACATCAGTTCTGATGAGGAGATGGTAGGGATTTCTCATTCATTTTGTTCATATTTCCAAGGAATTCATTTTTTGGAGTCATCATCGATCCAAGCACGTGCTCAAAGCCTGGACATGCAAAGTCACAGCCTCCACCATGGGACAGCCAGTGAGCTCAATCATGTCAGCAGTCAGGAGTGGCCAGAATCAAACCATGGGGCAGGAAGTGCAGCCAAGTCTCAGGGCATTGGAGCTTGGGTGCCCCAGGAAGAGCCCAGAAGGTAATGGTGTACTCTTGGTGCACAATATCCTGTGGACAAACATCTAGGTTTCTGCAAAGATGTTCCGCTTACTGCCACAAGGTTTCCACCAGGAACCTCAAGGTCTTCACGCCAACACCCCTCTGAGACTCCTTTGCCTCGCCTCTCCTTGCCACAAAGTCCACTATTCACCAGGTATCACAGACTATACAGAGGGCCCAATGCTGCTGGTGGCATTCATTCTCTGGCAATGCACCTGGTTCAGGGTGAGAGAACACATGCACGTTTGAGGATGGTGCATGGGTGCACAGAGGGAATGGGTGATACCACCCAGAGATACGTGCTCTATCTCGCCTCAAAATTTCATTTGCTGCCCATCTTGTCTGTGTGTTCACAGCCAAATGTGAATGCATTGTGATGTAGATGCCTTCAGAGCATGCAGCCATCAGCACAAAGAGCGCCGCTGCCCATCAACCCCCTGATACGGGTGCTGCAATTACCCCCCTGAGCGACCTCCACGCCAACACAGCATAAGGATGTCATCCTGAACCCCTGAGACACCCTCAGGGGAAGTGGGTCCCCTCAGCCTAAGAGCCACTGTCCTCCAGGTGGACACACCCACTCTTAGCATACACTTCCTCACAATGGACTCACCCTCAAGGAGAAGTGTGGTCCCTGAGATCTCCCACAAGCGAATGGCCCTTTGCCGAATGTGATGACCTCCATCAAATGCGGCTCATAGGGACCCGTGACAAAGGACACCTGAGGAATCCCTGGACTGACCAAGGGTGACTCACCAGCAGGCATACTTCCTGGCCTCCTGCCAAGCCAGGGGACCCTCCCTTTGACCACACGCAAAGTTAAAGGCATCGGAGCCATTCCAATGCCCAAAGTTGTGGCGCAAACCCTTGCAGCAACTGGGTAACTTGCCGTGGGTTTTTGCAATTTTGCAGTCTCGGCCCGTCAGTGAAATGACCTCGGAGGACCCATGAGACCCAGGTCCTCCAGCACAAAATGTACCCACAGTCGTGAAACAAGAGAACCCAGCCAACAGCATGGACACTTGAACTGGCATGACATCTGTGGCCTGAGGCCAGGCATGCCAGAGACCACAAGCTCGCTGCACCAGCTGGTGGTGGGACCAAATGGCCCCCACACCACACATCCTCTCCTGCCCTTAAATCTGTAGCCTTTCCTTGGCAGCTGATTCCCTTGTTTCCGCATGTTTGTGCCCAATCACCTCCAGGAAGAGCTCAAATCCTCAGGGAACGCTACGTGGGCCGGGTATAGAAATGATGCTGGGTTGTCCTGAGGAACACCTTCATATCTTCAACACAGGGGGAACGTGGCCAGACAGGGACAAAACACCTCACGGCCTCCAAATCAGCCCCCATGAGAAGAAACCATACTGAGCCACGAAGGCAACCATTCGTCGGCACAGGGACCCGCCATGAAGTAAATCAACAAAGGAGAAGAAAACAGTGAGATGGTCCTCGAACGTGCACCCATATTCCTTCCCTGCACATGCCTCCAAACGCTCCTGAAAGCATCACAAAGGCCTTCCGGGAACCCTATGCCCACTGTGATCTATCCACCCACCAGTCTACCTGAGGGATTAGCCAAGAAACTCATGGGTATTTTCCGCTCACCTTGCCCTTCTGTCTCTGCCTGCATAAAAACATCTCACGGCAAGGTGCAATAGCAACCTCTCACCACAGAAGCTTGATTTCCCAGGGAATTGCCTAAGGCATTTTCCAGCCCCCCAGCCCACTAACACATAAGGAGGACACAACCCGAGGAGAAGCCATCAGCTTGGGCCCAACTTCCGGGGACAGTGGCCCATTTGATTTCCCCCGATCAACAGGAGATACCTACCCTGCATCACATATCCTAAGCAGACCATGACAAAGAAGCCTGGCCTAGGCTAGGAATCCTGCTCTGACCCTGAGTGTAGAGACACCTGTTTCCTTGAGGGAACAAAGCAATGACCGGGGGGTGGGGAAGGCCTGTAGAACTCAATGGCAGGCCCAAGGCCCGCCACAAGCTCACACTTCCTCTGGCACCTGCACACTCAACTGAGGCAGGGGACAGCAATCCTGGCTAGACTCAAGCACACCGAGACGGCACGCTGTCCCTAGCCTTCCCACATGGATGTGCATCCCAGGCACCTTTCCCAATGGCTCTTCTCCCCACGAGAATGCCGCCACCCTCAACATGAGCAAGGTGTCTGTGGACGCCCAATGCAGCAAATGAAACATGAACTTCTCCTTACTTTCCCTTTGGGAGGCAAGTGCTGGACCTCAGTTCTGATGAGGAGATGGTAGGGATTGCTCACTCATTTTGTTCAGATTTCCAAGGAATGCATTTGTGGGAGTAATCATCAATCCAAGCACCTGCTCAAAGGCTGGATGTGCAAAGTCGCAGCCTCCACCGCAGGATGGCCAGTGAACTCAATCTTGTCAGCCTTCAGGAGCGCCCAGAACTGAGAGGTGGGGCAGGAATTGCAGCCAAGTCTCAGAGCATTGGAGCTTGTGCTCCCTGGGAAAGCCCCAGAAGATTATGGTGCAGCCCCGATGCAAAAGTACCGTGGGCAAACATCTATGTTTTGTAAAGAAGTGCAGTTTACTGCAATGAGGGTTCCACCAGTAACCTCACGGACTGCATGCCAACATGCATCTGAGACTCCCTCGCCTCGCCTCGCCTTGCCTCGCCTTGCCATGTCTTCCTTGACTTGCTGGGTATTACAGAATATGCAGAGGGTCACATGCTGCCACTGGCCTTTCTTCCCTGGCACTCCACCTGGCTCGGAGTGATAGAAAACACGGATGCTTGAGGATGGTACACGGGTGCACAGGCGCACGGAGGGAAAGGGTGATACCACCCAGACATGTGAGCTCTATGTCGCCTCTATGTTTAATTTGCTGCCCATTTTGTCTGTGTGTCAGCAGCCAAACATGAAAGCATCGGGGCGTGGATGCCTTCAGAGCAGGCGTCCATCAGGACAATGTGCGCTGTAGTCCATCAGCCCCCTGGTCTTGAGCCTTGTAATTCCCACCCTGGGTGCCCTCCCCACCGACAAAGCATAATGATGTCATCCTAAACCCCTGAGACACCCTCAGGGGAACTGGGTCCCCTCAGCCTAAGACCCACTGCCCTCCAGGGAAACACACCCGCTCTTGGCACATACGCTTCCTCACAATGGACTCACAATCAAGGGGAAATGCTGTCCCAGTTACTTTCCAGAAGGGAATGGCCCTTCGCCAAAAGTGATGACCTCCTTCAAAAGCGGCTCGCTGGGCCCCGCAACAAAGGGCACCCGAGGCACTCCTGGACTGACCAATGGGACTCACCAACTGGCATTCTTCCTGGCCTCCTGCCAAGCCAGAGCCCCTTTACTTGGACCATACGGAAAGCGAATGGCATCAGAGCCATTTCAATGCCCAAAGTTGCGGGACAAGACCCTTGCTGCAACTGGCTTACTTCACTTGACGCCTTGCATTTTCGCATGCTGGGCCCATCAGTGCCACAACTTTGGAGAAAGCTTGAGACCCAGGTCCTCCAGAACCAATGTGTCAGCCAGAGCCGTGCAATAAGAAAACGCAGCCAGCAGCCCGGACTCTTGAAACGGCATGACTTCTCTGGCCTGAGGACAGGCACACCGGAGACCACAGGTTCGCCCACCAGTGGGTGACAGGACAAAATGATCCCAGTGCCACAAAACTCTTCTGCCCTTAAACCTGCAGGCTCTCCTTGAAAGCCGAATCCCTTGTTTCTGGGTTGTGCCCAAAGACCTCCGGGAAGAGCTCTAATCCTCAGGGAACAGTGTGTGGGCTGGGTACAGAAATGACGCTGGGGAGTCCTGAGGAACACCTTCACATTTTCAACATAGGGTGAACGTGGCCAGACAGGGTCAAAAAACCCCATGGCCTCCAAACTGGCCCTCTTGCGAAGACACCATACTGTGCCACAAAGGCAACTACTACCTGGCACAGGGACCCGCCATGATGCAAATTGACAAAGGAGAGGCCAAGGGCGGGATGGTTCATGAACGTGCACCCATAATCCTTCCCTATACATGCTTTCAAATGCACCTGAAGGCATCCCAAAGGAGTTCCAGGAACCCTATGCCCATTGTCAATCTATCCGCCCACCAGTCCACCCATGGGCTTAGCCAACCATGTCACATTTATTTCCCACTTGCCTTGCCTTTCTCTTTCTCCCCAGATCAAAACGTCTCACGGCAAGGTTCCAGAGCCAACCCTCACCACAGAAGTTTGATTAAACTTGGGTGCCCAGAGATGACATGCTCTCCCTAGCCTTCCTCCATGGATGTGCATCTCAGGCTCTTTCCCAATGGTTCTTCTCCCCACAAGAATCCTGCCAACTAAACTCACACAATGTGACTGCGGATATCCAAGGCAGCAATTGCAACATGACACTCTCCTTACATTCCCTCTGGAAGCCACGGAGTGGACCTCAGTTTCAATAAGGAGACGGTAGGGTGTTCACAATCATTTCCTGTAGATCTTCCAAGGAATGCATATGAGGAAGACATCATTGTTCTGAGCATGTGCTGGGATGCTGCAGAACCCAAAGGGCAGGCCTCTCAGCATTAAGATCAGTGAATCTGTATGGGTCTGCAGAGAACCCAGTGACCTCGGAGAGCTCCAGAGCCTGGGGAATCGCCACTACCCAGGCCTCTCAGCATTAAGATCAGTCAATCCACGCTTGCAACCACTGGGACCACCCAAGGAAACCCTAATATCGAATGGCACATCTTGGAGTGGGAGAATACCTACTGTCCTGAGTGACCCACAGCCATGCTCGGCACCCTGGGCTGCCCCATTTCTTCTAGGTCTCCCTTGCACCTCCAGTCATCAGACTATGTGAAGGTCTTCTTGTCTTAGCTGATGGCCAGCCTTGCCCAGCAACTGCACCTAAGAAGTGGACAGAAATCACACAGGCTTCAGAATTGGACCGGCATACTCAGAGAACACTATTCATGCCAACATTTACCTGGGGATAAGCCCGGCACCTGCTTCCCAAGTACCTCAATCCCTTATGGAGGAGTGAATGCGTGTCTGACAGCATGACTGAAGGAATGTAGGCATGTAGGTGGGCCCGCGAGTGTGAGGGTATATGTGTACATGCACATACCTGCACATGTGTGTGACTGTGACTGCACACGAGGACTCACTTGCGGGTTTCTGTGTGTGCCTCTGTACCCACATCGGGACCTCTGTGTGTCCCTGTACCCCTCTGTAAAGGCCTCAAACAAGAAAAGCAACAACTTATACACAGAGCCATGGCCTCGGGCCCTGCCACAGAACGTTGAAAGACCCCTGCTACCTTCAAGAGACCGCATGCGAACTTTGACCCCAGAGACTGTTGAAATAAGCAATGGACTCCTGCTCTCCAACAGCACCGTCTTCTGACCAAAGCACACAGACTTGATGAGACCAGCCTGGCCTCCTGGCTGTGGGTGTGATGTCTACATAAACCTGGAGACCCTGCCAGCTACCCTAGCACATCTGATGTGCACTTGCTGGCCACTCCCAGCACCTCTGGGAAGAAGGGAACCTCCCACGGGCAGGCCGACACTGCCTTGCAGCTGGCTACAGGCAAGATGCAGCCCCTCTTCCTCTCAAGGGGCCAAAGGACTTAAGACCAGGTGCCACTTAAGGCCAACTATGCCAAATCACTTTCCATGGACCCACAGGCATGCCTATCATGGGAAGTGTTGGTCTTCAGCCACCATTATGCAGGGTCGAACTGCACAAGGAAACTAGGCCACCTTCCTGGCCAGGTTCTGGCCAGCTAAACAACTGGCAGGATTCGTGGCTCTGGTCCCTGAGGAAATGCTCAGATGCTGGATATCCTTGTCCCACGTGCCCTCCTCCTGCCCACAAGGCGATTGGACACAACAAGAAGCCACAGACACCATGCTAACATGGGAGACACTGAGCACCATGGAAGACAGACAGCAAGCATGTCGGCTTTGATGAGGTCGACCCCACGCCATACATTCTGTAATCTCGTCAGCATCACACCAACACTAACAAGGACCTCACGGAGATCCAAGGTGCCATCCACGAGGATCACAGAAAGACTTCAAATGGAGGACCTCTGCCATGGGAGGGGAACTGAAACCCTGAAAGAGCACAACTGGCTGTCCATGGCAGCGTGCATGGCATCGCAATATCGCCCCCATCTCTGCCACACCCACGGTTTTCCACAGATAAACATCTGGCCCTGTGAAAGGCTTGCGTGCTACCTGGGCAGGCCGTGTCATTCCCTTTGGGAGAAACACTTTTGCCTCGCACATTCCATAACTAGGGAACAAAGGGGCCAAAGGGCATGTTTGCATAACTCACTTCCCCCTAGGGAGGCCAGCCCCAACTCCTCAGCAACTGGATCTCTTCTACCCACCACAATAAACCATTTGGGTGTCATTCCTCAGGCAAGGGGTGCCCAGTCGACACAGGTCACCAATCACAACACATCCACTTGGACCGCAAAAGCCCTCTCCTCCCTAGGCAGCTGATGGCAACCCTCACGGTTCAGGGACATACTAGGCAAGATGAGGCGACCACCTGCAACCCAATGATGACAGCCCATCCCATGACATCACACAGGACCTGTCCTCATCACGCCTTACCTTCCTGTCCAGGTCATCAGCCACCATGCAGGCTTGAATGCAGCACTCGGTCCTCACTCAACTACACGATGACCCACTTGGCACCAACACTGTGCTGAGAGTTGCAGTACACGAGCTGACAAGGGCAACACCGAGGCCTAATCCGTCAGCCCCCTTCCGCCGACACCCAGCGCCAGCCCACCCCTGCCCACTGCTCCAGCCCCACTGGGCACTCAAGAAACTCATCGCGGCAAAAGCAACAACAGGGAGGGCCATATGCCTGGCCTGGGGCTCCAGGCCACAACGAAAGAAGCTGGCTCATTCTGGCTTCCAAACACCCCACAAAGTGCCACGACCAAAGAGGAAACATGGCCAAAACACAACTCTCCAAGCCGCAGGCTCACTGGGCCTGGACCAGCACACACTATGACACCTAAAACCAGCAAGACAGTGTGCCGCCTTGTAATCCGTCATTGGCCTTTCACCAAGGACCTGGGATTCATAGACGATTCAGGTAAGGTGCAGACATGGTCGACCTTCAGACAGGAGCCCCTTAAATGCTGGCACCATGGGTGGTGTTTGTATGCATGTCAAAAAGGGGACGCTGGCCTCCACTCCCAACTGTACCCTACCCCCAAGGGAGGAAACGTGCTGGACCTCAGTTTCGATGAGGAGACAGTAGAGTGTTGTCACTCATTTAATTCAGATTTTCCAAGGAATGCATACAAGGGTGTCATCTTCAATCCAAGCACATACTGGGACAGTGCTCAACACAACAGGGCAGGCCGCTTGGCTCTGCAAAGGAGCCATGACCCCGGAGTATTTGAAAAACCTGGGGAATCCACAGCCCTCAGAGCACTCAGCAAGAGTAACAGGCAATCCACTATTGCAGCCACTGGGCCCGTCTCAGGAAACCCTAATATCCATTGGCACATCTTGGGGTGGTTGATTGCCTACTGTCCTGAGTTATCCACGGCCACAGTCAGCAACATGCCCCTGCCTCACTTTTTCCATTTCTCCTTAGCACATCCAGTCATCAGACCATGGAAAGGTCTTCTTCTCTATGCCGACGGCCAGCCTTGCCCAGCAACTTCACCAGAGAAGTGGACAGAAACCATAAAGGCTTCAGAATTGGACCGGGGTGCTCAGAAAACATGATATATGTGAATATTAACCTGGGTGTGATGCTTGAACCTGCTTCCGAAGGACCTCTATCCCTTACTGAGAACAGAATGCATGTCTGACAGCACAATTGCATGAACTCAGGCACGTATGTTGGCCTGTGTGTGAGACGGTGTTTGTGTGTGTTCACGCATGTGCATGTGTCTTTCTGTGACTGCGCATAAGGACAGGCTGGCGGGTTTCAGTGAGTGCCTCTGAATCCGCGTCTTGGTCTCTGTCTGTCCCTGTGGCCCTCTGCAGGGACTATGAACAGTAAAGGCCAAAGTTTATATGAGGAACACTAGTTTTGGACCCTACAACTGAATGGAGAAAGACCTCTATCACCTTCAAGAGGCCGCATGCGAACTTTGACCTCCAGCGCCTTGGCTTTGGACCCTCCCCCATACTGAATGAAGAAAGACCCCTATCAGCTCCAAGAGGCTGAATTCAAACTTTGAGCCACAGGGGCTGTTGAAATAGGCCACGGACTACCGCTCTCCCACAGCCAAGCATTCTGGCCAAAGCACAAATACCTAAACAGACTTGCCTCCCGGCCATGGGTGTCACATGTACGTGGACCTGAAGAACCTGCCAGCTAGTAGCACATCTGATGTGCACTTGGGGCCCCTCCCAGAAATTCTGGAAGCAAGGGAACCTCCTATGGTCGGGTGGACACCGATCTACAGCTGGATGCAGGTCAAAAGCAGCCTGGCACCTCTCAATGGGCTAACGAAATTTGGTCCAACTGCCAATTCTCACCAACTGGCACAAATCACTTTTCGTGGACCCCTGGGAATACCCACCACACGAAGTAGTGGGCTTCAGCAACCATAATCCACGTTCAAACCGCACGGCGGAAACTAGACCCCGTTCCCGGTCACGACTTGCCAGCACCCAGCCAGCAGGTTTCGCGTCCATGAACCCGGAGGGATCACTCAAATGCCTGACAGCCACGTCCTATGTGACCTCTTCCTGCCCACAGGGCAACCCGAAACTACTGGAAGCCATAGACATCATGCAAACACGGGGACACTCTACACCAGGGATTACAGAACGCAAGCATGTCTGCTTTGATGACACTGACCCTACACCATGCATCCTGGCACTTCTCAACTGCCACAGCGACACGACCAAGAACCTCACAGAGATCAAAGGCACTGTCCCCAAGAACCACAGACAGACTTCCAACGTAAGACCTCTGCCATGCGAGGGGACCTGGAAGCTTCAAAGGGCACAGTGGCTGTCCACAGCAGCGCACCTGGCATAGCACCTGTGCCCCCATCTCTGCCCCGCCAATGGACTGCTCCAGAAATACCTCTGTCTCTTCGAAAGGCTTGCGGGACACATGGACCGGCCGCATCATGCCCTCTGGGAGAAACACTTTCGCTTTGCACATTCTCATATGAGGGAACAAAGTGGCCAAAGGGCATGTTCGCATAACACACCTTCCTCCAAGAAGACCGGCACTGATGCCTCAGCATGTCTATCATCTTTACATCCTGCAGGACACCCTTTCATCGTCATTCCTCCAGCAATGAGATCACAACTCCTGCAGGTTACCGACCTGACGGCATCCACATGAGCGGGCAAAGCCATCCCCTCCATATGCAGCTGATGCCAGCCCATCATGAACATGACACATCCTGGTAAGCCGAGGCCAGTGCCCGCAACCCAATGATGACAGCCCATGCCACAACTTCACACAGGACCCCTCCTCATCATGCCTTAATGTTATGTCCAGTCCATCAGCCACCACGCAGGCTTAA